GATGAAAAAATTTCACATTTTGACATGTTTTGATGAATTATGACCCTTGGCACTTGATTTTGACCAAAAAGTCAAAGTTTGACTTTTCAGTGTACAGTTGACTTTTGATCAGTTGACTGCAAATTTCATTTGACAATCCAATGAAATTGCAATGTTTTGAACCATGCCATTAGGTCAAGATGATGCAACTGAATCCTTGAAATCATGCTTTAACTAAATTAGTCATTTTCTAGGTAAAAAACCAGAAATTACCCTTCCTCAGTCAAAACCCTAATTTTTGACCATTTTGCCCTTTTGGTGATTTGATAAAATTTCTTGAGGAGTTGTGATCCAAACTTGAACAAATGATACATATAAGTTTAAAATGTTGATGTGGATCAAAAATTATGAAGCTTGACTGTAAATTGGCCATGGTTGACTTTTTCCCCATTACAGCTGATTTTTAGATCAACTGTCCAATTGACTGATCAAAAATGTAGTTCAAATCTTGAAACTTATCCTGGGTGATCTTAGGGATCCATCATGATGTTTGAAAGTCACATGAAGCATCAATAGTCCAAAAATACTTGTGCAACCTCAAACCCTAATTTGGGATCATCAGTACATGATGATATGCCTTGAGCTGACCAAACCCTAATCCAGTCTTGAGTCAAAGGAATCTTGTGAGAAAAGTCTTGATAAATGAGAGGGAAAATTTTAGGGTACAACAGCTGCCTCGGTTCAATCTTCTTAAACCTGAAGAGTTAGATTGGCGAGTTTTTCCATTCGTGACTCGAAGGCGAAAGATGATTGGACACTAGAGTGCCCATAAATTTGCACTCGATAATGTGTAGTTGAGGGAATGGGCTTAAAGATTCCATTTGGAGAAGTGATAGAATCTTGTTGGAGATGGGCTTGTAGATGCCATCCAAGAATGTTTGTTGGATTGTAAATTGTAAGCTGAAAGAATGAGTATCAGAATGGCATTCGTGTCTGGAGCGTATCCATACTGTATCTAAATGGGTAATCTGAATGAATATCAGAATGGCATCCGTGTCTGGAGCGTATCCATGTTGTATTTGAACTTGAAATCTGAATGAGTATCAGAATGGCATCCGTGTCTAGAGCGTATCTGTATTGCATCTGAACTTGAAATCTGAATGAGTATCAGAATGGCATCCGTGTCTGGAGCGTATCTGTATTGTATCTGATTGCACATTGTTAATGGTAGCGGTTAATCTTATCCTGAAAAGGGTAAAATGTTAGTTGAAACACAAAATTATGTTGTATGAAATGTATGGTGCAACATATGTGTTTTGTCAATGTTTATGATATAGGGATGTAATGTATGTGCATGTAAGCTGATTTGTTGTATTGTTGCCTGATTAAGGAAAATAAATTCCTGAACGCTGATGAGGATATGTGGATTCTTCATGTCTTGAAGTACTGACAAAAAATTCCGCTTGTGAGAGCAATGCCACATACTGCTTGAGGAATTCTGAGAGATTTGACGATCTCTACTGGGGATTAATAATTTGAAGTTTTAGTTCTTCTGGGGATCTAAAAGACGTACTGTACGGATTGCTTATGGAATAGCCTAAAGACGTTGTCCGGCTCTTTCAATCTATCAGTAATTGTCTTTCTCATTTTGTTTATTTGTAAACAGTAATTATGTTCAAATGCATATGTTCATTAATGAGTCATTGGACGTTTTTTGCAAATAAAACACAAGTGTAAAGAAAAAGACAAATAGTTTTCTGTACTTTCAAAGAGATATATTTGTATTGACTTTGAATAAGTATTTTGTACAAAGGAGACAATCATTCTAGTAAGAGAATGCTGCCATAAAAAGAAAGAAAAACTTTATACAAAGAAAGATAGCTATGTGTAATAATCTCATGGGGTTTCCATTCTGCTATAATAGCCTTCGTATATCCGGATATCTTGTCTATTTGTTGCTTCGTCCGAAGATGATTGAATTGATCAGAAACTCCGAGTTTGTCAGTGGAAGTCAAGAGGTTGTCCTCAAAGTGATCCGACGGGACATAGTCATACGCTTTAATTCCCTAACTTTTGCCTGGACCTCCCTTTCGGGTTTTCAGTCCACTGAGAAACCCTTTTTTGCCCAAGTCGCCCTTTCGGGTTTTCAACTTGCCGAGTGTACATATTTTTTATTTTATCCCTAGTTTTTTCCCGAACCTTTTTAGGTTCGTCGAGATGCCCTTTTTTACCTAGGTGTGTCAACCTAGAGGGTCTCTTATGTGTAGTATCTTTTGACTATGTCCGCGTTCGCAGGGTGTGGAAGGTCGTCGCCGTCCATGGTGGTTAAGGTCATTGCCCCACCGGAGAATATGTTCTTGATTACAAATGGTCCTTCATAAGTAGGAGTCCATTTTCCCCTGGGATCACTTTGTGGTAAGATAATGTGTTTGATCACTAGATCTCCAACTTGATATACTTGGCGTCTGACTTTCTTGTTGAAAGCCTTGATCATCCGTTTTTGATACATCTGACCATGGCAAACAGCAGTAAGTCTCTTTTCATCAATTAAGTTTAGTTGATCAAGTCGAGTTTGGATCCAATTGTCCTCATTCAAACCTGCATCCTTCATAATTCTCAAAGAGGGGATCTAAACCTCAATAGGCAAGACAGCCTCTATGCCATAAACCAAAGAATAGGGTGTTGCCCGAGTTGATGTGCGAGCCGTGGTACGATACCCGTGGACAGCAAATGGTAGCATCTCATGCCAGTCCTTATAGGTGACTGTCATTTTCTGTATGATCTTTTTAATGTTTTTATTGGAAGCTTCAACGGCACCATTCATCTTTGGCCGATAGGGGGATGAATTGTGATGTTGAATCTTGAACTGCTCGCACAAGGCGGTGATCATGGTATTGTTAAGGTTGGCACCATTATCAGTGATGATCCTTTCTGGGATACCATACCGGCAAATGAGATTATGCTTGATGAAGCGGGCAACAACATTCTTAGTAACGAATGCGAAGGAAGCTGCCTCGACCCATTTTGTAAAATAGTCAATGGCCACTAGAATGAAGCGGTGTCCATTGGAGGTTATAGGCTTGATCTCTCCAATCATGTCGATTCCCCACTGAAACAACCGGCTGAAAATCATCAAAACAATAAAGTCGCCATCGAACGTCTTTTATCCCACATGTAGGGAAAGGTAAACATCGAGGAAACCTGAAAAGGGTGAAATCAAGGTCGAACAACCAAGAGATAAGGGTAAGGGAGTCTGTTACGCGAGGGGAAGGTATTAGCACCCCACACGCCCGTAGTACTCTACGGTATCCACTCTCATTGTCTATCTTATGGGTGTGTTTAATCTATGCTTACTATTTATTACTTCTAAAGGGAGAATGCATGCAAAAGAAAAGGGAAAAAATGTAGGGAAAATAAAATTGTGCTCGCTTGGGCCCTACCCCAATGCCTACATATCCCTTTTAAGGAATCAGAGCAGCCGTAGTTCGGATTATATGTTTTTGTTTGTTTGTATTTTTTACTGAACAGTATTAATTTCGCCTTCTGCCGTAACTCGACCGTTGGAGACTTACGCGTCAGCACAGAAGTGAATTAACATGCTCTTCTGAAAAGTTTGGAAAGAAATGTGCCTGGACGCACAAAAAGTTTTGAATTTGTTTGTGTTTGTAATGAACGATATTAATTTCACCTTCTGCCGCAACTCGACCTTTGGAGACTTACGCGTCAGCACAGAAGTGAATTAACATGTTCTTTCTCAAAAAAAAAGAGTTTTGAAAGAAAGGAAGGCCCGAAGGCAAAAAGAGCTTTGTGTTTGTCGATATTTTTGTTTGTAGATAATGGCTAGTTGACCTCAAGAGAGAGATATTAGCCACTTTTCTACTTATTCATGAAAGGGGTCTTTGAGAAGTGAACCACACCTATGCTTGAGATGGAGAACAACAAGATCGAGAAGAGACCCGCTTATCGTTTCCCGTACTAAGCAAAAGCATGATTCTCATCAGTAGTTTTAAAGTGTTTTGAATTTTGAAAGAAAGAGAAAGTTTTAGTTTTAGATGTGTATGCAAAAGGGGAAGAAAATTCAAAGGGGGACTAGCCTATTTCTAAACCTAATGTTATCGTGCGTCAGTAGCCCTAAGACAAGGAGGAATGAAAGAGAAACATCTACCTAATGTTAGCATGCATATGGTTTGCGATAAAGAAATGCAATAAAGTGCGGAATGAGGGATAAAATAAGGCCACGATGATACCGAACGGAGAAGGTCCGTTGCCTTTTCAAAGTCACACGAGTGATAAGAAAACTCTACCGAAAGCTGCTCCGCATGAGTGATCATAGAATTAATCTCCAAGCATTCCATATTGCAAGAATTACATCGATGCTATCACAAAATCTTGACTAAAAATGGCAATAAGAATGATTACCAAATATGAAAAATAAAATAGTAAAAAGAAACTCTAATCGAAATTCTAAAAAAAAAAGAAATTCTAAAGAATTCTAAAATATTCTAAAAAAATATGCTACTATTTTTGTATATTGTTTTTATCATAGGTATTTCATTACTATTTTTATTAAAAAAAGAAAATTAAACTAAAAAAACAAAATTTAAAACCAAAGAAATTAGAATGAGTTAGGGGGTGCTAAGTAGAGATCCAGGGGTGTGAAGTTTGAGTCTAGGGAGTATGGTCTGGAATCTGGCGCATAGGCCCATCCAGTAGGGTCCAGAAGCTTCTTCTTTTTTTTGTATCAAAGGTTTTATGCTGAAAAATAAATTGACTGGCCTATGGATGTGATTCGGCCCACACAAACATTCAACACACTATTATTATCACTAGAATTATTATTAAGTAAGAAAAATAAAGACAAAGAAATTGAAATGATGGGAAAAAAAGGGGTTCAAGATGTTATGTCTCTTTATCTTCTATGAGAAAACGATCTCCTTCCTCTTCAACTTGACGGTGCAGCTTCTCCATAAATCTTCGTTTCATTGCTCCGCATTAAGGGATGGTCTTTCACGCCACCAACGTCATCTTCCGATCATCCTCATCGCATTTTCGGTTTTTGATTGGTAGTCTCCGTTTGTTTCTTCGACCTCTTGGCGTTGTTTCCTCCTTGCGAAACGGCGTGTCTCATCCTCTGGCAAATATAAGTGATCCGCCAGCGTTATTTCGACCCTGGAATCCTCATCCACATTGAACCCCGCATACGAACCTAGCTTCAAATTCTTCCAATATCTTGCAACGTCACTCTAAATCGGAAACCCTAGAAGTCTCGAAGCTTTAATTGAACGACACAAATTACTCCATTCGAGCTAAAACCATGGGAGAAGAGCCAGGGGGAATGAGAACTACATGTCTGTATAAAGAAGATGGCTAAACACTTACTTCGACAGCGGCGCCAATGTCGAATTCCAAGGAGCGCCTTGAGTCTATTGTGAGCTTGATTCTTCCCATTCCCTTTCTCTTCTTTGTATTCTTGCGTTTTCTTCGGCTTCCGTCTTTGTTTGATCTCTGCTTCTTCTACTTCATCTTTTTCTTCTTCTACTGTGTTATTGTGTTTTCTGTGTTTTACGTGTGTTACAGATTCATGAATCAGTGTTGCAATTGATCTTTGGTTTGCAGAAGGTGAGGTTGAAGAGTGACAGAAGTTGGGTGAAGAATGAGTCAATGGTGGTTGTCAAAGGAGGAAGATGAAGTTTGATATGAGGGATTCTTGATAATGTAGATGAGTTGCGGTTATGGCGTGAAGGTGAATGGTGATGACAAGTGAATAGGGGAATGTGGAAAATGGTGGTTCAGAAAAATGGTTGAGAAGATGCAGAGGAAGGTGATGCTTGAAGGCTCGGTGAAGATGAAATTCAAAGGGCGAGAGAGAGTTTTCAGATATTGATTTTGGTGATTCTCCAAAGAAATTAAATAATGAGGTGAAGATGAGAGGAGAAGATAATTTTTTTTTGGTGATTCTTCAGGGTGTTGAAGAATGATTCATGAAAGAGGTAAATTTTTCTCTAACTTTTTCGGAATTTTCTTGAGAAATTTTCTATCTGTCCCCTGAATAATGAACCTGATTATGTATATATGATGAGAGAGTTGGAGGGAGCTTTCATAAAATTCTGTTTTTGGTTTTAGAGTTAGTTAGATGGTTAGGTTTGTTAGGAGTTAGTTGTCCGTTTGAAAGTCGTTAGAAGTTAGTTAAAAACAGTTAGGAAAAGGCTAGTTATGGATTGGTTGTTTTGGAATTATGAATTTCTGTTTTGGCAGTTTGTTAGGAGTTTGTTAGGATGCAGTTAAGAATAGTTTTCTGTTAGAAAATTTTGGTTAGAATCTTTGTTGTCATTAGCACTTTCATCATTGTTCGTGTTTCTTTGACTCGAGTTTGCATTGTTATTCTGTGCATATTCAGAATTACTCGAGGATTCATCTTTTTTTATCTGAATGTTATCAGGTTGAGACTGAGCTAAATGATTTGACCTTTTAGACCAAGTTTTCCGTGAATGCCAATTTATAGATAAACCAGGATGTTTATGATAGAGTTGCATCCCTAATGCTAGTGTCAAAGGAACTTGTTCACATGGAGATTTGTTTATACTGTTGACACAGAACCACAGGTTAAGGCCTATTTTAGATGTCCAGTCTTTATATTCATCAAGTTCTTCACCACCAAGCTTAGTCTTGTGTTGATTGCTAACGTTTGTATTAGTGTGCAGCTCAGTTTTAAACTTACCCTTGTCAGCAACTGCCGAATAGCTGGATCCATAAATTCAACGTCGCCTGTGCCACCAATATTTCCAGCTGAGAGCGTTTGATGTGAATTTCTCAAAAAAAGAAGAATGATCAAGTAAGGAATTCCCAGATAGGGAGTCAAAAGTATGCTCTGATCTCTCATGGGAAGAAAAACCAGGAGGCGGCAGCCTGCTTGGAATTGAAAAACCTGGCGGAGCTGAAACTTGTGCTCTTGAAATAGCAGAAAGCTTATTGGAGGAAGCAGGTGAATGAGCACTGCTTACATTTTCAGCTTCCTCAAAGTTACTAGAAGGAAAGCCATTTGCAATGCCCAACTTTTCCATATAAAAGTCTCTTTCTGCCAGATTCTGATTGAGTGTGTGGCTCTCGGGCTGTTGCTGGCTAAAAGCATAAGAAGGATGCACATCCAAAGTTTGAATTTCAGATTCTTCCTGTCTTGCAAAAGAGAACCTTGACTGGTTATTGTTTTGAACTTTCCAAGAACTAGATTTTTTTTTAAGGATCGGGCTGGCTATCAGTATTGTCAGTCAACAGCTTCGCTATATTATGAGGTGATGTAAGGGAGTCATCCCCTGGATCAAAATCAATGGACAGAATATTTGAGATTATATTACTTTCATCCTTATCAATTGCTACATCACACTCGGTATTAACAGCATCCCTAACCAACCTTCCAATGCTTTGTCTGAATTCTCTTTTTTTTAAACTATGCAGAAATTTGAATTGGATTGGTTTTATTTTGCAGACCCGGTACCGTAGCATAGAGACATAAATATTGAAGTTTACACATGGCAGCATTATTGAAGACGATCAAGAGGAGAGAACTTAGAAGACCAAGCTAGCATACTTTTAGGAACCACTTATACAAATATCAATTCTTTTTGTATGATATTTTTGTAGAGATGATGAGTTAATGTAATGACTTGAAGCATTATGGCATATTTTGTAATGACTTTTTTTTGTTCAAGGCTTCCATAGGCAATTGTGAATGAAACTGAATGATAACACAAAAAAAAGCCTCATATTTTGAATTGGTTCTTAAGAATTTTTTTACATACTTTTGGAATTGCCACTTAAAATCTTGTCTTAAAAAAAAGCTCGAAAACCTTGAATGACATTGTATTTTTGTCAACTTGAAATCAATGGTCTTAAACTTGGAATTTTGAATCTTGAGCCAATTGGAAAATGAGTCTTCCACTTGAAATCGAAAGTGATATCATGCCCTGAATAATGTTTGAAATGCTGTATTATTTTGCCTTGGTAGCTTGAATTTCAAGAAATCAACCATGGATGGATATTTCAATTTACACGCTTGATTAATGCACCTCAATCTTAATTGAAACCATAAGTCCAAGTTGACTTGTGAAGAAATCCACATGGACTTTCTCCTAATACTAGTATGAATCACCTCCTGTTACAACATATGAGAACCTCAACTAATCTTGAGACCATGTCTCATAACCTTTGCATTTACTTATACCTTGCATTACAGGAAATACTTATGACATTTGCACCTTAAGAAACTTGAATGGATACTTCCCTAATCAAATCATCAATTCCCCATGAACCTTTAACTTGTATTACAAATAACCACTCGAGAGAACAATAATCCCTTGAGGGATCCTTTGAAGATGAATATTGAACTTGAGACATGGGAGGAATAACCACCAAGATAGCCTTGAGGAAGATATCCTTGTAGCTTGATAAGGAAGCGATCCACAATAATCAATCAAAACCCTAAATTCACAATTCAATGTACGAAGAAGAACCAGTCTTGTTTGATAAACACCTCGAACTGAAAGAAAACCATAACTTCACGATCAATGGTCCTCTGAACCATGATGCAACAAAACCTGAGTTGGTTAATTGAAGAGTGGATGAATGCCATGTAAAAGTCATTAAGCCTGATCAAATGATAGGCACACTTATATGAAGAGACGTCTTGATTCAAAGACCCTGTATGCTAAGTCACGCCCTTGAGTTCTTGACAAAAAAAACCTGTGCCCTGTTGTTTATCAGAAGATAATAGCCTTGCTGCTTGAGGGAGAAGAAGTCCAAAAATGAGAATGAACCAGAACCCTAAATCCACAGCTTACTGCCTGAATAAGAAATCATCCTTTATTGGATATGAGCTCCTTAACCACCATGAAACCCTAGTATCGCACAACCACTGAACTTTGAACCTTAGAGCTATATTGAATGAAATGTATGCCATGTTAGTGACCTAATGAAATAGATACAGATGAATGCAAAAAGTCTGAGCCAAAATAAAAGAAATTAGGAGGGCAAATTTTGGGGTGCAACACCCACATAGCTAAGGGTCAGGGATCCGTCAATACATTTAGAGGAACTGGAGGTACGTGCACCTTGTCAGCATAAATTTGACACTTATGACAAGTCCGAGAGTGTTGATAGCAGTCTGCTTCCATGGTAGACCAATAATAGCCTGCCCGTAGGATTTTCTTTGCCATCGTATGCCCACTGGAGTGAGTGCCAAAAGTACCTTCATGTAATTCAGCCATGATCTTTTCAGCCTCAATCTTATCCACACATCGGAGGAGAATGGAGTCATGGTTGTGTTTTTACAGGATGCCATTACTCAGGAAGAACTTAGCAGAGAATCTCCTTAAGAACTTTTTATCTTTGATTGAAGCTCCTTCCGGATATTCTTGAGCTTCGAGATACCTCTTGACTTCATGAAACCAAGGTTGGTCCACTACCTCTTCAGTATTAATCTCGTGACAATGTGCTGGTTCATCCATTCATTTGATGGTGATTTGGGGAGCCTCGTTATCCCAATTAAGTTTAAACATAGATGACATTGTGGCTAGAGCATCTGATAGCTGATTTTCTTCTCGTGGGAAATGCTCGAAGGCAATCTGCTCAAAATGTGGTAGCAATGTCAAAACATGTTCTTTGTAAGGGATAAGGTTTGGGTGCTTAGTGTCCCATTCTCCTTTGATCTGACTGACGACCAAAGCTGAATCTCCAAACACATCTAAAAATTTGATTCCCAAGTCTATGGCAGCCTTGAGACCAAAGATGTATGCTTCGTATTTCGCCATGTTGTTCGTACAGTGGAAGCAAAGTCTGGCAGTAAAGGGAGTATGGAACCCTTCTGGGGATATGAGTATAGCACCGATACCGTTACCAAGTGCATTGGATGCCCCATCAAAGAACAGGGTCCATCGGGATCCTTGTTTGGGTCCGTCATATGGTCTGATTTTTTCATAGTTATCTAATGTCATGATGTCTTCATCCGGGAATTCAAATTTCATGGACTAATGATCTTCTACAACTTGATGAGCAAGATGATCAGCCAGTACACTGCCCTTTATAGCTTTCTGGGTAGTGTACTGTATGTCATATTCCATTAGGATCATCTGCCATCTAGCTATCCTCCCATACAGAGCAGGTTTTTTGAAGATGTACTTTATCAGATCCATCTTAGATATCAACAAAGTAGTATGAGTCAACATATACTGTTTTAGCCGGCAAGTAGCCCATGCCAGAGCGCAGCAAGTTTTCTAGAGCAGTGAATATCTTGTTTCACAGTCGGTAAACTTTTTGCTCAGGTAGTAAATAGCGTGCTCTTTTCGGCCAGACTCGTCATGCTGCCCCAATACACACCCCATTGAGTTCTCTAAAATGGTCAGATACATGATCATTGGTCTTCCCTCGACTGGTGGTATCAAAATAGAAGGCTCTTGTAAGTACTCTTTGATCTTGTCAAAAGCAATTTGACATTCATCATTCCATCTGACTACTTGATCTTTCTTCAATAGTTTGATGATTGGTTCACAAGTAGCTGTTAGGTGAGAAATGAATCTGGAAATATAGTTCAGGCGTCCCAAGAATCCTCTTACTTCCTTCTCAGTACGAGGAGCAGGCATTTCTTATATCGCTTTAACCTTGGCAGGATCAACCTTGATGCCTTTGTTGCTGACAACAAAACCTAAGAGTTTACCGGACCAGACTTTGAATGTGCACTTGTTTGAATTCAACCTTAGTTTATACTCCTTCAACCTTTCAAACAACTTTTGCAAATGATCAAGGTGCTCCTCTTCAGTTTGTGATCGGGCTATCATGTTATCTACATAGACCTCTATCTCATGATGTATCATATCATGAAATAAAGCTACCATGGCGCGTTGATAGGTGGCCCCAGCATTCTTCAGTCCGAATGGCATCACTTTGTAGCAGAATGTGCCCCACTGTGTGACAAATATAGTTTTCTCCATGTCCTCAGGTGCCATTTTGATTTGGTTATAACCTGAGAATCCGTCTATGAAGGAAAATACTTTGTGTTGGGCCATATTTTCAACCAGGATATCGATGTGGGGAAGTGGAAAATCATCTTTAGGGTTGGCCCTGTTTAAATCTCTATAATCCACGCACATTCGTACTTTGTTATCCTTTTTAGGCACGGGAACAATGTTGGCAACCCATTGAGGATAGGAAGTGACAGCCAAGAATCCAGCATTGAATTGTTTCATGACTTCCGCTTTGATCTTTTCTAACATGTCAGGTCTCATGCGGCGGACTTTTTGTTTTACTGGTGGACAGTCTTCTCTTGTGGGCAGACGATGTACCACGATGTCTGTATCAAGTCCTGGCATGTCTTCGTATGACTAGGCAAAGATCTCAACATAATCATGCAATAGCTGAATTAGGCGCTCCTTGACACTCAGCTCTAGATTGGCACCCACCTTGATTTCCTTTTTATCTTCCTCGGTACCCAAGTTGATTGTATCCAACGGTTCCTCATGAGGCTGAATAGCTCTTTCCTCTTGTTGTAGTAGTCTGGCCAATTCCCCTGGTACTTCACAATCTTCCTCACCTTCGTCTTCGCCTTGGTAGATTAGATCTTCAGAGTCACTAAAGACCATAGCAGTATCGTTACCCATGGGACCCGGAATGGAGGGGTACCTGCATTTGTGACTGTGGGTGTCTGTAAGGGTATAGCCATCTTTAAACAATAAAATGTAAAAGAAAAACAATGAGCACAAAAGGTTTGTATGTGAAAAAACGTCCATGATTCATTGAATGTCATATGAAGATGAAATAAAAACCCTTACAAATGGACCATTGTGCCTCGGGTAAGACACAAGGTTTTTAATGGGCGAATTGTTTGTGAATATTACAAGTCCAATAGAAATGTAAAAGATAAATTACTGAGATATGAAAGTTATTGGGACAAAGTCTCTGGCTTCCCAATTGCGAAGTCCTCCGTTGACAGTAGGAAATATCCAATCCTCCAAGCTGCCTTCTTCTTCACCAACTTCCACTGCATTAACCTCTCGGTTGCTAATCTTCAAAGGTGGCCCCCTAGCACGGGCACGATGCACAGCCTTCTGAGCATTCGAAGTAAACCCTAAGCCAAACTTGTCAGATTTATACTGAATGTCTGGAAGTTTCCCCCAGATGGTGCATCCTCCCTCCTCTACTACCGCCTTGGCGTCCTTTAGAGATGACATCCGAAGCGGAGGTCTTGTGATCTTGGGAATTTGGGACACCGTCTTGGTTACTGCTACCTCTTGAGAGACTTCTTTGAAATGTTGAAAAGGAGTTTCGATGAACTCACCGTCCAATTCTACATATCGGAAGGAATTGAGGTGGTTAATCATATACTCTTCCTCTCTGTGGACAGTAATAATCTTTCCATGGACCGGGTATTTTAGTATTTGGTGCAGTGTTGAGGTGACAGCACCAACATTATGGATCCAGGGTCGTCCTAGCAGACAAGAGTAAGAGGGGCGGATGTCCATTACATAGAAAGTCGAGTTGAAAGTCTGAGT